TGTAATTTCCACCACAACGTGTAATTTCCACCACACCATTTGTTTTAAAAGAAATTGTTGCAAAATTCTAATCAGTCATAACTACATCCTTCATAACTTAAGAGATCATTTTCCACTTTAATTAATAACACAAGTATTTACGCGTTGAAATGTATTTAGCTATTCCAATGCTATATCTCAGGTTATTAGGAACATTCGCGTATTGTCCTCATCACTGTTATATATGAAATTGTTCTTCCAGTGAATATTTTGGAATAAATGACAAATATTTATATGTGATAGAAATTACATTTGTGCAAGCCAATTTTGGAAATCTGTTCAAAAACACCAATTTGTCTTAAGAAATCAGTGTATTTTCTTATGAATCTTCAAACTACAGTAGTTATGCAAACCAATCACACAGTGAGAATTTATAATTTATTATATGTTTTCTCTTCATGTTTGCAAGGCCAATAGTGCCCGTAGTTAAAGAATCACCCATGTATTCATGTACATGCTCATACATAGTGACATCAGCTGAAACGTTTTGTTAAACCATAATAAAACTTACCCAGCTGCTGCTATTTCCACCTGAGGCGGCTGCTGGACAGTGGCATCCTGCGAACTGAAGTGGAATAATACACAATAATGTCTTGACTCTTGACTCCTAAACAGTGACAAATGTGAACCCTCTAGAATTAAAAAATAGGGCGCAAACAGATAACACTTACCTCACTGCTTCTGCAACGTTGGAATTCTGAAATGACAGTAAAAAATTTCAAAGCATTACTGCCTATAAAAAATAATGTTTGATCGACAGAAACACCACAACAAAAAGTCTGATCCCCAGTCCCCAACTTCAGATAAATACTTTATTGCATGCTATCTCACTCACCCTCACAAATGTATATAACATATTACCTACCTTTGGCCTGATATACAGGTTAGACCTGTTCAGGCTGCGGAGGCTGTGTATTTCCCCTGGAGTTGTAACCTCCAGTTGCTCAACCTGCCGCTGCCCATTGACCCTGCACAACGTGAATTCCTCTGGTACTCCGGATACATTGTCCCGAAGTACCTGCACAAACTGTGCTGCAGTCAGGTCCAGGGGCACCACCACCCTGATGGGCGCCGTGGCATCTAAGAACAATTGAAAACATGCTGTAGTAAGCTGATGAAGATTCTCAGTCATCCAGGTCGTAGTCAGTCCAAAAAAGTTTAAAAAGCAATCCACTGGACTTGGTTTCATAGACCTGAAGACGTTTCGCTTCCCCTCCAGGGAGCTTTCTCATTTGAAATGTCTGGACCCGCAGTGAGTATGAGACTGCGCAGATCCTCATTGCTATATTACATTACCTTGCACATAATTTATGCTAGTTTTCAAAACAACTATCAGCTATTGCCAGGGTATTGTTGCAGTCCCTGGAGCAGTGTGTAGTTCAGTGCCTTGCTCAAGGACACTTCATCTGTGGATGTAGATGTAGGGAAATTTTTGGGTGGGATTCAAAACTACAACCCTCTGATCTGAAGCCCACTTACCTAANATTTATTATTATTTAATAATTTCTTTAGTTATTGTTACTATTTATTATTATGCTCCATAACTTTTAAAAATGTTTTGTCTATGTGGTCCATTCATTGCAATTTCCACACCAAACAGTAATTTCCACCACAACGTGTAATTTCCACCACACCATTTGTTTTAAAATAAATTGTTGCAAAATTCTAATCACTCATAAAAACATTCTTCATAACTTAAGAGATAATGTTCCACTTTAATTAATAACACAAGTATTTAGGCGTTGAAATGTATTTTGCTATTCCAATGCTATATCTCAGGTTATCGGGAACATAAGATTCGCGTATTGTCCTCATCACTGTTAGGTTTATTCTTTATACATCATATGCGTTGTTAGTTTGTTAGCCAGATTAGACGGAGTAGATGTCCTTCCTTCACATGGTGGATGTCTGTGTGTGTACGGAGATCTTCTAATCAGGACAGCCATCGTCTCTTTAAAAATACACAGGATATGGGCACATCTTGGAGCTGGACTGATAAAGGAGAGCAATGTGTAATCCTGGGGTAAAGAGGCAAGATGCTTAAAGGTCACGGCATGGATGGCGTGTCAGTTTCTGATACGGACAGCTGAGCATCCACCTGATGCAAAACATGGACTCGTGAGGTATAAGATGGAGGACATGACCTTCTTCGGGGCTCAATCTTTACCGGACGCTCGCTGACGTTGTTTGAGCCCACAGCTCCAAGCCATTTCTCTGTCCTGTAACAGCCTGACCTGGAATAAATGCTGTTACTTTTTTACTCCTGTTTTATAGTCCTTTTTTATATGGTTTTACCCAGTTTGAGTTAGGAGTAGTACATCACTTGCTCCCAGGTAAAGAACCGGTAGGGAAGTTCTGAGGTGCATCAGGGGGACCGAACTTACATATTAACATCACAATTAATTTACCTAATCCATAAATGTATGTGTTTAACATTAAAGGCATAAACAGTTAAATATATATATGAAATGTTCTTCCAGTGAAAAAACATTATGTGTTACAGAGTATTTTGGAATAAATGACAAATATTTATATGTGATGGAAATTACATTTGTGCAAGCCGATTTTGGAAAACTGTTAAAAAACACCAATTTGTCTTAAGAAATTAGTGTATTTTCTTATGAATCTTCAAACTACAGTAGTTATGCAAACCAATCACATAGTGAGAATTTATAATTTATTATATGTTTTCTCTTCAAGTTTGCAAGGCCAATAGTGCCCGTAGTTAAAGAATCACCCGTGTATTCATGCATGCTCATACATAGTGACATCAGCTGAAACCTTTTGTTAGACCATAATGAAACTTACCCGGCTGCTGCTATTTCCACCTGAGGCGGCTGCTGGACAGTGGCATCCTGCGAACTGAAGTGGAATAATACACAATAATGTCTTGACTCTTGACTCCTAAACAGTGACAAATGTGAACCCTCTACAATTTAAAAATAGGGCGCAAACAGATAACACTTACCTCACTGCTTCTGCAGCGTTGGAATTCTGAAATGAAAGTAAAAAATTACAAAGCATTACTGCCTATTAAAAATATTGTTTGATCGACAGAAACACCTCAACAAAAAGTATGATCCCCAGTCCCCAACTTCAGATAAATACTTTATTGCATGCTATCTCACTCACCCTCACAAACATATATAACATATTACCTACCTTTGGCCTGATATACAGGTTAGACCTGTTCAGGCTGCGGAGGCTGTGAATCTCCCCTGGAGTTGTAACCTCCAATGGCTCAACCTGCCGCTGCCCATTGACCCTGCACAACGTGAATTCCTCTGGTACTCCGGATACATTGTCCCGAAGTACCTGCACAAACTGTGCTGCAGTCAGGTCCAGGGGCACCACCACCCTGATGGGCGCTGTGGCATCCAAGAACAATTGAAAACATGCTGTAGTAAGCTGATGAAGATT